GGGGGGGGGGGGGGGGGGCGCCTCGTGGGGCCGCTGGGTGGGTGCTGCAAGCTGGCACGCAGCACACAGGTGGACCAATGGGCCGCCGCGCGGATCTCGGCGGACGACCGGCAGTGCCGACACAGGGCCTGCGCGAATTCGAGCCAGCTTGCTTTCAAATGCCCAATGGCTCGGCCGAGGCCCGTACAGGGCTGCCAATTGAGGCCGCGGAGGGGCAAGGGTTCTCTCCGGCGCGCGGCTTTTGCCCCCAGGGGCTCACCTGCTGAGCAATCAAGACGTCTACACCTTGATGATATACGAGATACGGCTCACGAGATTGTCCGGACGTGCACGTCGGCGAACAAGCGTGGTGCGCCCACGGGGATGTTGTGGCCTGGTAAAAGGAGTGGGATGCACGGCCCTGACTATCAAAACAACCAAGGACCCGGGTGGAATGAATCGTGCAATTACAATCTGCGTTGTTTAGAGGAACATGGGGTGTGCAAGAAACACGTGGGGAGTCATTACGCCCCTCAGCGCGCCCGGCGATTTGCAGGTAAAATACTGCGTTGTTTTTGCGCTCGACCGACACATGTGAGCTCGTCCAGCCTGGGCGACTGGTGCCGCCGACACCTGGCAGTCACAGGTTGACGTTGTGCACCCATGTGGCGACGCAAGTCAGGGCCCACCTGAGGGCTGATGCAGGGCGCGCGCACTCAGGAAATGGCCCCTCATCAAGCCCTACTCACAGGACCACGTTCGTTAGGGATCCACCTGTGGCTGCGACAAGGCAGCAGCACCGTCCTGCCGTCGAAGGTCAGTACGGTGCGGTCCGTGGGAGGGTTTGCTGGTGACGCCCGCAGGTGCTCAGGTGCCCTCAACCAGTGTTCAGTGCCACGGTGCTGGCCAGCCTCCCCCAGTGATGCCTGGGGGGAAAGTCGTCTCTGCTGGTTTAATCACGGAAATTCTTGCGAAGGCGGTGCTGCTGCGGCTGGCGGCACCACGAGAGTAGGGCACTAGTCGCAGCTCCACTCGACCCCGATCTGGGACTCTGCCAAACAATGCCATTTGACTGCTGGCTGTCACCCGGCCATTGACTGTCGTCACGGCAACCACGCACCTGAATCGCTGGACACGAACTCATTGTGACGAGCAACCCCCAGGGTAGCAGCGCTTATCGCCGGAGTCGCGCTGACCAGTTACTGTAGCGCAATATGTTGCCAGGCAGCCAGCGATGGAGCTCACAACCAGCCGGCACTCCAGCACCGCACACAGGTGGTGAGCAACAAAGACGTCTGGGGTCGCGCTGAATCTGTGCACCCCAAGCGGGTGGGGAAAAAGCCTGGAAACCATCAGTCTGAGTCAGCTCGTTACAAGCACGACAGGAAACTTTCACTGCAGTCGCTGCCGTTTTGAGATCTCCGGCCCTCCAAACGACACCAGCACAGCTGCTGCTGCGAAAGATGAGGAAGATGATTGCGTTCGCTCCTGCCCCTCCCGGTCCTCCTGCTGCTGGCCCCCCTGCTGCTGCTCCTCCAAGCGTTTCTGTGAATAATGCTGCTGCTGCTGCTGCTGCTTCTGCTGCTGCTGCTGCTGCTGCTGCTGCTGCTGCTGCTGCTCTAGCCCGACTGCCCCGCCCACCACACCGTCCAGCAGCACCACAACGTGCGTATGCCCCTCTGCTTGCGCCAAGTCGCGCAGCCGCCTGCCCTGGGCATCCGGCGCCGTCACGTCCGCGCCAGCCGCTATCAGCACGCGCACCGCCGCCTCGCTGCCGCCGTCCGCCGCAAAGTGCGCCGCGCGCCAGCGCCCCGCACCCTTGTCTGGCGCGTCCACGTCGGCGCGCCACGTGGCGAGCAGCCCCCTGAGCGCGTCGGCCTGGCCGCCGAACGCGGCCGCGTGCAGGGGGCGCCAGCCCTCGGCCTCCTCAGCCTCAACCAGCGCAGGGCGCAGCAGCAGCAGGTGGTCGAGGGAGGGGGTGCGGCCCTCGAGGGCGGCGTAGTGCACGGGCTGCCACCCCTCGTCATTGCATGCGTCGATCTGGGGGTGGCTCAAGGCGAGCGGCGCGGCGCATGCGAGGCCATGTGCGTGTATCGACGTCAGCTTTGAGGCAGCCGTGGGGCGCCTGACTACCATCGGGGAGACGCTGGGCTAGGGGCGGACGGCGGCGCAGCGGACCGAGGGCGCTGCGGCCGGGGCGCTCATACAGAGTTAGAAAGCAGGCGCCGCAGCGCCATGCTGGCTTCCGCCACCATGCCTTACACACCATGCCTCGTAGAGAGCCTCGAGCGGCTTGATGGCGCCCAGCACACCCTCCCCCCTCGCATGCCGTTGCGATCAGCTGACAGGCGCGGGCGGCCGCTTCTTAGGCGGCCTGCCCCGCCCCTCGACGCGCATCACCTGTGAGCCATGCCTCAGCAGCAGCCGGACAACCTCCAGACGGGAAGCGCCGCCATCGGCGTCTGCAACACCTGGGGCGCCGCGCGCCGCCCAGTGCAGCGCGGTGTGGCCGCTCCTGTCCGCGGCGTCCACCTGAAAGGGATCCTTGCCGATTAGAAGCTCCACTGCAGCCAGGTTGGCCCTGGCGGCGGCGACGTGCAAGGGACACCGGCCTAGGTGGTCTCGCACATGCAGCAGGCGCGGCTTGCGAGCCAGCAGGCGGGCGAAATCTGCGGTGTCGCCCTGCTCGGCCTTCAGGAGGACCTCCTGCGCGGCATATGTCAATCGTCAGAGCACATCACATAAAAGAGTGGAGCCAGCCTCGGACGATTATCCCTGTCAGGGTGTGGTGCGGGTGATCCCCGTTCATAGGAGCGCCTGCCTTCTTGACTGTAGACATCACGATAGAGAGTTACTAGATATGTAGGCTGTGCGGCCAAAGCGTGCGGCCCTCCCTACCGTACCCTCAACAGCAGCGCTCCCAGATCTACAGCTGAGTCCCGGTGACGTCCCGGTGGCCTTGCAGGCCAGCGTTTGCGCGTTAGGGGATGGATATACCCTTATCATCTATCATACCAACATCTGAACACGCGGCGCATGGTGGCCTGCTTGTGGGGCACAAGTTCACGCGACTCAACACCCCCCTGTGTCAAGCTTACATAAAGCCGCGCACATGACCAGGCATTGAGTGATTTACAGCGGCTGTTCTTGATTTATTGATGCTATCATCAGTCCGGTCCGCACGCACAAGACCGTTCCCAAGCAAAAACGCCGCGCCGGCCGCAGCCGCGGCCGGCCCATCCCAAGCCCCTCATGAGTTGACAGATGCTTTGTTGTCAGCTTCAATCGCTTCTAGACGAGGTTGTGGCTCCGCAAATCGTCATAAGGGGTTGCAGAGCACATGCCAACGGTCAACTTGCACAACAAAAAGCATGTGTCACCCAACGGGGCGTGCCGCTCGCCAGTGGCAGCCACATGCAGAGCACGGCACCCGCTGCCGCACAGTCAGTGCACAGATAACATGTGCTGGTCTCAACCTGCTTTCAGGGCACAACATGTTGGTTAAGTTCCAGGCCGCAGACCGCGGGGCCGGCACCTCGCCCACCGCTTCGCAGATTCCAGATTCCAGCTCAGCAGTGACAGCAGCCGTGCGCCGCTAGCACGGCGGGCGCGTGCACACCCCTCAGAGCCTGCCAACCACCGGCGCGGTTTTATGGAGCGCACACGTGCGCGTGCAGCGGGACATGCCGCCACAGGGGTGGTCACAGACACAGGCCATGTCCAAGGCATCACCGTGACAAATGTGATCAGAGAGCATCGGATATGGCCTTTGTGACGTTCCCTGAGATCTCCTGGACTTTCTTGTTCTCCTGAGGGCGGGGGGACGGCCAGCCAGGGGGAGCGAGGGCAGCAGCTGCTGTGAGAGGCCGCACAGCACAGGGAGGGGGCGGGCGCTGCGACGCTGCCATGACGGCCTGCCTCCAGCCGAAGACGCCGTTGAGCTGACACGCGGGCCTTGTAATGTGGCGCCGCATTCTGCATTGCATGTGCTAAGCACCATCTCCTTTGAGCAGTCGCACGCGCACCACTGCACGATCGTAGGCCTCCATGCACGCTCTCTTGCCTACTTTGCCCCCTTGCTGTCACACCTTCACACGCACACACTTGTCTGTGCAATCCTCAACGGTCAACCCATCTCCAAACACATACGCGCTGTCTGTCTTTCCCTCTCTACCACATACACAAACGAAACAGAGGACCACGGACCCGCCCACCCCAGCCCCGCCCCATGTGCACCCACCAGGAAGAGCTTCTGCACCAGGGCGGCCGACAGCAGCACGATGCCGCAGTACACCGGGAAGAACTGGGGGCCCATCACCGCGCCAAACAGCTTGGTGGCGATGACCTTCTTGTAAAACACCTGGATGGGGTGGTGTGGGAAAGTGAGTGTGTGTGGGCGGCGAAGTGCGTGCAACTGGTGGGAAAAAGGGGGCCGGGGGCGTGCGGGCGCCCGCCTGAGGCCAGCGGGGCCACCAGGGCCGCTGCAGTGCCCCAGCAGTGACAGGAGCGGGCCTCTCAACTCCCCACGACCACCGCCCCAAGCTGCCCGCGTGCAAGCAAGGTCCTGCGCCGCGCCTCTTCCCGCCAGGCGCCAAGTGTGAAAGCAGCGCCCACCTGGCCCAGCGGCCCGTGCAGGATGAAGATGGGGAAGGAGATGGTGCCCAGGTATGTGACCAGCGGCTGCCCCAAAAACTCCACCAGCCCCTTGGCGCCGCCCAGCGTGTTGCGGTGGATGCTCATCACCAGCGCCGTAAAGAGCGGCACAAACAGCAGCACGCGCGTCAGGGGGTCGTTGAGCGGCAGCCACCCCGCCGCGCGCGCCCAGGTGACCGCGACGAGGGCGGCCGCGGGCAGCAGCGCGCTGCCCGCCTTGGGTGCCGCCGCACCGCCGTCGGGGTCGAGCCCGTCGGTCATCACCAGCCGCGCGGCGGCGGCGCCCGTGAGCACCTCGAGGACGGCGTAGAAGGGGTGGAAGCGGGTGACGTTCCAGAAGAACTGGTTGGGGTGGGCCCTGGGCGGGGTGACGCCCTCCAGGAGCGTCCAGGCGTTCAGATCGTACGAGTACGCCAGCTTGCCGACCAGCGACACCGCGGTGAGCAGCAGCAGCAGCTTCCGGAGGCCCTTCTTTTTAAGCGCCGCGATGGGGGGCAGCGCATAGGGCAGGACGATCATGGCGAATGTGAGGGACGAGAGGAACCATGTCGGCGCGTTCCAGATCTCGGCGTGGGCGGGGAACCAGGCCTGGGTCAGGGACAGGCTCAGCAGGCCGTGGAAAAAGGTGGCGACGGGGCCGTTGTAGAAGTTGTCGGCGAAAACGTAGACCCAGCCGAACAGGAGCGTGGAGAGGAGGTAGAGGGGGTAATAGCCAGCGACGCGCGCGACGGTGTACGTGCCCTCGGGCTTGACTCGCGGCGAGGCCTCGTACTTGCCGAGCTCGGTGGCGGTGTAGGCGGCCACGTAGCCGGAAAGCACGAAGAACGCGCCCACCCACACGTTGATCTGGGAGAAGAGCCTGAGTATGAACCCGTCTCGCGTCGCGAAGCCGATGAAGTGGCCGACGGCGATGTAAGCGATGAGGAAGAAGCGGATGGAGTCGAGGCCGGGGACGCGCGGCTTGGAGGCCTTCTTGGGGGGCGGGGCGGGG